TATGATTCTATGATTCTATGATTCTACCTGCAGCCTGTAGTGAGCCAACTAGAAGATGAGGAGCATCTCAAAAGTGATCTTATGTACTGGTTTTGGCTGAGAGTTCATAGCTTGTATGGTGCTATATTCTGGATTTGTGAAGAAAACAGTGTTGATAACACACAGACGTTTCAGTTATTGCTGAACAGTGCTCACACAATGTCAAGGTCTTTTCTGCTTCTCATGCTGCCCCACCAGGGAGTAGGTTGGGGGTGCACAAGAATCTGGGAGGGGACACAGCTGGGACAGCTGACCCCAACTGACCAAAGGAGTATTCCACACCATATGATGTGCTCAGCAATAAAAGCTGTGGAGAAGAAGGAGGAGGGGGAGGATGTTTGGAGTTATGGCATCCGCCTTCTCAAGTAACCATTACGTGTGATGAAGCCCTACATTCCTGCAAATGACTAAACAACTGCCTATAGACGGGACATAGTGAATGAATTCTGTATTTTGTTTTGCTAGCATGCAGAGCTTTTGCTATACCTATTAAACTGCCTTTGTCTCAGCCCACAAGCTTTTGTACTTTTACCCTTCTGATCCTCTTCCCCATCCCACTGTGGGGGGGGCGTGAGCAAGAAGCCGTGTAGTGCTTAGCTGCTGGCCGGTGTTAAACCACATCTTGGTATCATCTATATATGCAAGCAGTACACACAACTGCCTTGAATATTATGGTATGGTGAGCTTGATCTCACATTCAGGCACAGATAGTAAAAGCAGTGCCCATGGAGACTCTGTAGTCAGCACAGAGCCTATTTACTATAGTTTTGTGGGAGAAATGAGTTTCAAATGCAAACATTTAAAAAAAATGTTTTATCAGCTCATGCTGATGAAAATTATATGCACCAATTTATACAAAAGCTATAACGTGCACAGGATTGTAGTCATAAATAGACTGCTATTAAGGAAGTGTAAAACCCCACAGAACACTGACATGATCAAGAGCAATGATTCCCACATTAGTAATCAGAAGGTATTGATTGGCATCCCACCTGTTGGGTGCCTTATAATCAGTCACTTTGACAATTTCTGAGACTTACCTCTTGCCAATAGATTCAAATATGTCAAGATAATTTGACTATACTAATTAAAACAATTAGTTATGACATGAGAAATGCTTTTCTTACTTGAGGTATATATGAAGAATCCTTTGGCTCTTCTGCTTCTTTATCACCACATTTGGCCTCTTGGTTTGCTATACAAAAAAGTCAGCACTGCTTGTATTATAACAGCATTTTAAATGGAAAAATAAAAATCATGTTGTAGGAAAGAATCCTTGAAAACTGTTTACTAACTTGGCATTGTTATTGGTAAGGAAGTGTTCTTTCTGTAGTTTTCATAATAACCCACTTAGTGGCTATGCCCATAATAGTTACCTCTTGTTCTGCCACTTACCATTATTAAAGCAATGCTTAGGCTGCTTCGCATGGTTTGGTATGTTTTTCAAACCTAGCTATTGTTCCCTGAGACTGCTATGTTTGTCTAGTCCAGCTATTGCCCTCTGAGAGTGCTAATACCAGTCAATAGAAATGAGGTGGAAACAATATAAAAAGCACATCTGTATGACACTGATCAAGTGTATCTTAAAGAACTGAGCAAAAGTCAGGATGAGAAATGAGAAGAATGTGAGACTTTCTGCTCAAAGCTTCAGACCATGCAACATTTCAGGCACAGTGGGTTAAGAGTAGTTTAGTTATTAAATTGTTCTTATCTCAACCCACAAGTCTCTTTTCCCTTTAACCCTTTAATTGTATCCCTCATCCCTGAAGGGGGGGAAGAGGCGAGTGAGCGTCTGTGTGGTGTTTCACTGCCAGCCAGGTTTAAACCACATCAAAAAATGACAGTGGTACTTTACCTATTGCTGCATTTTCACTCTCAAACTGTTGATTAGAAGCCGTCTGCTTTGGAGGAATTGCCAGTCTAAAAGAAAAAAATTGCTCTTTGTCTGAGTATGGATTATTTCCATAAACCTTTATCTCAAGAATGAAAACTACCTTATTAAAGAAAAGTTACCTGAATTGCATTTGGTTTTGTAAGCTTGTTATTGATGGAACTTGGGCAATTTGTGGCTTATTAGTCCTTGCAGTGTCAATAATTATCTTAAACAGAGAAAAAAATTCAAATGAGGCAGCATACAAAACTGTCACTTCAACAATAGCTCTGTGATTTGTCCTTCGACTGTGGAAATCCCTTCTTTTAATCTCTCTTTAGGGGTCAGGCAACATAAAAACTTTTCTGGCCACCTTTGCTTTACCTACATTTTAACACCATGATACCAAAACCAACCTCTATAATATTTTACGAGTCTATTCGCAGCACTGATGACTAGAGGTGAATAATTAACTTTTCCATCATACAAACAACATTACATAATTTACAAATTTTATCCAGGTTTTCTACTGCTGCAGCCAGGTTACTCCTGCTTGACAAAACAGAAAGGGCTGGATCCAAGCCTATCTCCACCTCCAAAGGCCAAAGTGAGTGAATATGTCATCAGGGAATTTGTCTCCTGCGTGGATTGAAAAACTACAGAAAAAATGGAAATACTCTTGCCTCACAGATTATCATCGGATCAGAAGCCTTAATTCTTTTACATATGTAGCATGTATTCATGCCTTAAGGGCAGAGTGGCACTAAGAATCTGTGCCTCAGCATCAGATAACACATTAGTTCACAGCAACCTGCTAGTTCTGGTTTGTTTTTAATTTGCAAAATGTATCAAATTTATTTCAATTCAGGGTAGGGGACAAAAGGGCTGGTTACGCAGAATCTGTCTGACACTCAACTCCTGTAGTTTACACTCCTTTTCTGAAGCACAGCAACCTCCTTTCTTCCAGTCTTTTTTATTTTTCCTCAGACTCCATCTTTTGCTTACTGCCATCACCCTTTCTTAAAGCTCCCTTAACCCTGACTTACTGCTTCCCACTATTCTCTAAGTGCAATTCCAGCTCCCAGATTCCCATCCTCATCTCTGGATTGCCCTGGCAACAGCCCTTCCATCATCCTCATCATGTTCAACTCCCTCAGCCAGTCACAAATCAGAATTTCTTAAAATTTCTTCTGGTCTTGTTCCACTCAGGCTAGCCATTGCCTTTCATGTTGTTGTATCTTATGAAGGTTGCTTCTTCTACCACACGCTCCACCCTAAACCATTCAGTGATTCATCCACTTCATCCTTCAGTTGCCTTGAAACTCTTAAGAAAATCACAACTGGTTCTGTTAATTTTTTACTTGACAGCTTTTGTTAGTCATTAAAATTTGGCTTTAAGTAGATCCAGTGAGATACCCCTTACAAATAAAAGTTTTAGGATAGAAACTTCCCCAGGTTTCTACACAGAAAACACAGTTGCAAATTATTTATCTCCTATGGCCTTACCTAATCTGAGTACTATTTTCATACTTTAACAGTCTATTGGTCCTACAAATGTTCTTGCACTTAACGACATTTTATTAGTGGTTTTCATAATTGTGCAAGTTGGTCCTCCAGCTTCTTTCTGGGTTGTTTTATTGTGTTTATATATTTAAGGTATACTCTTCACCTTCTTAAAGAAGTGCCATAGGAACTGTTTGTTTATGGGGTAAGAAATGGAGGATGTACTTGTGGACTCCTCAAGGGTACAACGCAATGCTGCTGGTGGTTTTACTCCTCTCAGCCCAGACTTTTGTTTTTGGTTAAACTTCAGAACTGAGCTGTTAACTGTAGGCAGTTCTGTATAGCACCCTGCACCTTTACAAAATCAGTAATAGAAGATTATGTTCCTCCTTTCGAATTCCAAAAATTTACTGCATACAACCAAGTGAATCTGCAAAGGTTATTATAAATTTTAAAAACTATTATACAAAATTATTTTGGTACATGGTCCACCTCAAGTTTGACATTAGAATGCTTACTGCGACTGCCAGTTGTACTTTCTAAAGAACATACATATTTTCAGTTGAAATAGCACCAAAGAAAGATTTTTATTATGATTACCAACTGATAGCAGATTATCAAGATTAGTGTACTGGTTCCAGTGGTAACAAGTTTTATGTAAGATACAGTAGCACTAGGTGTATTTGAACTGTATTAAATTTAAATAACCACATAAAACAGATTATATAATCTTGTGGTTCTACCAGTGGGAGAGCTTCATACCTGTGACGAATTTTCTGCAAGGCTGGAGGAACTGCTAGTGGCCACTGAATGCTCCATAGGTTTTTCTTTTTCTTCTTTCCCT